AAGCACGGAGCAGTAATCAACAGAGCCCTTCACAGCAAGTTTCTAGCTGACTTTGATCTTGACTGTCCACCAGGGTAAAAGAGAAGGCTGAGGGAAAGCAGGCTGTGTCAGCAGCCCCACATAGTCGCCAGCTGAGAGGTGTGTGTGCCCTGCACGGGCCTGCAAGTGGGTGTTTTATTGGCACGAGGTCAATGACAATTTCTGATGTCAAAGATGAGCAGTGTGATGAGAAAACTGATTTTGATTTGGAACTGAAAGAAGAAAGATGTGGCGAGGTTCTAGCCAACTGTCTCAACATGTGGCTGAAGTCCATAGACAATATGAACCTCCATCTTCCTAGTGTAGAAATTTCTCTTCTTCACCATGAGATATGATTTCCCCATTAAGGCAAATGCACTGCGATTACCTGACCCGAGTAACAAGTTTCATGCCCCAGGTGACTCAAACCCTCTACCCACAAAGAGACAAAGAATGGACCCATTATGCCATCTGCCTTCTCGGGCGAAGCAACCTTTGTCAGTTTAATAACTTCATGCCACTTCTAGTCTGGAAAATCTGGAACATAATCACCTGCTAACATTTATTCTTAGATTGATGTTTCTGGGAGCTTACTTTGTCCCAAAATCATTTAGGGAGCAGGAATTTTTGTTTCTGTTTCTGACACCCTGTGACATATGACAGTGCACACAGTATAAGGCAGGACAGCAAAATGTAAAACAGTGAAAAGATGCAGAAAAGAAGATGAAAAGAAAAATAATTAAATTTTTACCCTATCAAAATTTTGGGGAAACCAACTCTTGAATATATGGCTGGCTACAGGAGTTATCCTTCCAAAGTTAAAACAAACATACATCATATATGATGCCAAAATGTCCCAAAAGTACTGATATTCCAAACAGCGAGGCAGGCTGTGGCCACATGTGGGTTTTTCTTCCATACATCCTAATATGCACATGTTATAGTGACTCTTACCTATAAGCTCTACAAAGATAAAGGCGGTGGAGTGGGAAGACGTTACGCCCAGTACCCGATGGAGTGGGAAGACGTTACGCCCAGTGCCCGCTGGAGTGGGAAGACGTTACGCCCAGTGCCCGATGGAGTGGGAAGACGTTACGCCCAGTACCCGATGGAGTGGGAAGATGTTACGCCCAGTACCTGTGGGTTGAATCCATTAATTCCGTATAATACTTGTCATGCCAATATGTGTTTCCCTTTAGGAATTCACCAATAAAATGGAGATGACCCAACACACTTTCTATACGCCGTGTAAGAGGATAGCAAAATCAGTAAGTTGACCTATTTGTTGAATATGTTAAGGCTAAGATTCCATTGGGTGAGTGTTTTCTTTTTTTCCCCTCCATTAAGGGCAAAAAAAAGTAGAAGAGCTCAATGGAAAATCAAAGAAACAATGAAATACAATCTCCCCCACTTCATTTATTTCCTTTATCTTTCAGATAAAAGTTTGACTTGTGAAGATGCCCAGACTTCTTATTTGAAAGATATAGTCTTCTAGGACTTTGATGATATATTTTCACCCATTTCCTAATGGCATTCAACCAACTATAACAAGCAGAAATTTTAAGTCAGTTGAAAACAAGGTGCTTTGCAAGAAAGAAGGATTCTATATGTAGCAACAGGCGGAGGCATTAGTCAGCTTCTCCTTCACTAGGTAAAAGTTGAATTTATTAACCTAAAAGCCATCGTGAAGAATTTCACTTCACAAATAGAAATCTGACTGGTGACAGGTTTAATAGTGATTATTGCTGTGCTGCTGATTAGAAAAAAAAATCTCGCTGCCAAAAGGCGGGCAGAAGTTGGGCCGGTTTGCACTGTAGTCTGTGAGGTGCAGCTGTTTACCCCTCACTTCAGCCAGAGCTGCAGTAATCTTACAGAAATGTTAACAAATCTTAGACGAATGTCTGGTGCTTCAGGCTCAGAGTTGTTGTGAGAACAGGTATGTTTGAGAAAGAGCTACAACTGTAAATAAGATTTTAAATTAAGTGCAATTTATTCACTGTACACTGGATCTACACAAGAACATGCAGTGAGGGTGTTGTAATATTTACTAATTCAGAGATGATTAGCAGTGGGGGCTGTTTTGGTAACAAATTTCTCTGTTTTTCAATAAATATTCCAAGCACATTTTACTGGCAAGGATGCTGAAGTCATTCTGCCTGAAAAGAATGCCATCAGCTTCTGTACTTTGGGAAATACTTTCTTTAAGTAACCTTTTGTCTTGGGTAGGTGTAGAAGCTGGGAGGAGTGGCCAGATTTTAAACTCGGTTACTAAAGCCCTTGCTCTCTGGCTATCAATTTGCTATTTATAAAAAGACACAATGGTACAGAGGTAGACGTCTGGGAATGCACATGATGCTGGAGGAAGAATGAGAGGGAAGAGCTGATGCTCTGCTGTTTGTTTCATGGAATACTGGCAATGCCTCCTAAAGCTGAAGTAAAACATTTCCTACAGTTCCTAAATCCTACTCTGGAATATGAGGTCAAGTAAGAGATAGTAAGATAGTACTTATGTTTGTGGAGAGAAAGCTCTTGGAAATAATCTGTAGATCTCAAACAGAAGAATTAATATATAAATTATGACATGCTCATACAATGAACTACAATACAGCACTTAAGATGAAAGAATTTATGGATCCAAGTGCATACATTTCTGTACTCTGTCATTATATAAACTGCAAAGAAAATCATGTCAAGTCTGATAGTACTTCGGTATTGCCTAAAGACAGTCAGTGCAGCATTATACATTGCTTGAGGACAATGCAGTATTATACATTGCTTGGTAACAAATTTCTTTGTAAATACTTGTCCTGTGACCTTTAATCCTGACATGTCAACTTCAGTGGATTAAGAAATACCTGGCATACAGTGAAGCTCAATCCGCCTGTGTGTGGCTGCCATAGAGGTGTGGTCTTGTTGCTCTCCCCAGGTGTCCTTGCTCCTTCTGCACTTTGTCCCTGACTCCCCTTCCCTGCCCCGTGGCTGAGCAGCTGTGCTCCCTGACTTCGTTCTGTCAAACCAGAGCCAACTAACCCTTGCCATCCTTTAAATCGAGCTCACTAGGTGCTGCATCGCAGGACAGGAAAGCGAACTAATACATGAGGTAAGAAGTGTACAAACATAATGTATCGGGATATCATATGCTAAATTGGCACTTCATCTGTATTGGTGATGGGAGATGAATGTACATCTGAATTCTTGCTATGAGACCAGAATTCCACAGGGACTTAAATCATTACTGTCATTTTAATTCTTTTAAAATATCTAAATGTTACTCACACTTGGAGCTCCAAGTGGATTGAACCTTCATCACATTTTCTCAAGACTTTCTGGTATGGGTAATCCAAGCCCAAGGAGAGTCTCTCAATCTTGGACACTCAAAGCAAGCTCAAAGAACTCAGCCCAAGAACCACTACCCTTTCCCAGCCCCCCAACACGCCCCCCCACCAGCCTCCTGCAAGAGGGCCACCCCTTGGGTCACCTCAGGTTTGATTTTTGTGATTCATCATCTCTGGGTGTGGCTTTTTGCTGCCACTACGGCTTCTGTAGGCTAAGACTCTCCTGACTTACACAATTCTTTTCAGTTAGAAGCTCACAGAGAACACGAACACTTACTTACAAGTGATGGGACCTTCAGAGTTCCTTCTTCTCTAATCACATAATGGGTCTCTGACCCCACTGTCATTGAATTATCTGTAACATTTCAGTGAAGTGAGACCAGCTCTAATCAAGACACAAAGTTAACCTCAGGATTTCTACAGCACCCCACACCCCCATCCCCAATCCGCTCAATCTGCAGGACTTGCGCAGCCTGGCCTTGAAGACCAGTGTAAACTAACGTGTAACCGCTGATGTTCAGGGTAGGAGAGGGAGGAAGGGAAGCACGGACTTCCTCTGAACTAAGCGGGCTGCCTTCTTCAGTATTTCAGCCCTAACCCCATGGTAAGCCTCACCTAGGAGACATAATTAGGGATCCCCGATTTGTTAAGATTGACAGCTGTCGGACAGCTTCCAAAACCAAACAAAACAAGTTAATTTGTGGTAAACCAAGAGTGTTCCCCCACATACACACTGTATGCCAAAAGCAGAACCGGGATTTCGAAAAGGGTACTATCTAAAAAGACATCAAAACCACTCCGTCCCTCTTTTTAAAGGCCAAGCCCTTCCCGAAGGAGACCTCCCTCCCCCTGCTTACTAACACCAGGCGTCCTCCCGGGTCGCGCCCGGCTCTGCTCCGCCGCGCCCGGCCCCAGCACCTGGGCCCTGCAGGACCCGCCCGGCGCGGAGCGAGGCGCGCAGCGAGGC